CTGGGCGGTTGAGAAAGGATTCACTTTTCGTGAGAAAAAACGCTTCTGAGAGTCCTTGATCCTTGGATTAACAATAACATAGACTTACTCTTTCATCTAAAAAGATACAGCATTAGGAAAGAGAAAACAAAATTCCCAATTCGTCTTCTTCAGTTTTGGCTGAGTATTCAATGTTCATCGGGTCCTAATTGGATGACTGCAATGGCCTTAGAGCAGTTTTATGGCTGCGGGCGCGTTATCTTTTCTGCAAACATTCTTTGTGCTTTCGAAGTTTTTCCGAACAATTTCAAAATGTCTATCATTGTGTGAGTTTACGCTATTGATAGAGTGGTTATATATGCAACTTTTGGATTATTGGGTTCCTTTGTAAGACGGTCAAGGCGCGACTTCTTTGGCTGTCACTAACTCAAACTGATTAGCGCTACGCATGTCTTCAAGAAGCACCAGACAAAGTACATTGGCCCCTTTGTATTAGCCGCCGTCAAATGCCTCAAATGCCTGACATATGAGGAATTGTGAATCTAATCGCGAGAGAGGCTAGTAGTCATCAATGACGTATATGGTCTGAATAAGATCATACGCGGAAGAAAAGTGTCTCAAAATTGATGTGCATTTGCTTGCATTCTCGTTTGATATGCGCTCACTCACTTGGTCAGTTTGAAGGTAGGGATCTCCCATTCATCCAGCTGCGTTTAGAGCTGCTGAGGGAGTTAGGGTTTGAAGTAACAGCCAAAAGTGTTTCTTTTGGTACAAAGGATTAGTGACTTTGCATGATCTTCCGACCTGTTTATTGGGCTTCCACCGACGGCTAGGATGGAACCTGCTGTGATAAGCAACAGGCTGACAGTGAAAATAGCAGTCGATCGCGTCGCGGGCAAGTCGTGTAGTTAGCAATATCGCCCGAAACCGGGACCGCAATGTACCCAGAAGCGCTCGTAATGACAACACTTGCCTGCTGCAAAGGCTCAGTTTGGTAGCTGAATTTATCATCTATCACTCGGAGCTATCAGGTCCCAAAACCAGTTTTAGAGATGGCTGTTTTTGCGACACCCTAGAAAGTAAGCGTTATGATAGCTTGTTTCCACAACTTTTCAAAGACTGATGTAAAGGGGTGAATAGATCACAGAAGCAAGACATCATCAAACCTGCTAAAGTTCCTCGTCTGAGCAATTTTTCAGTAAATGGAGCGTGCAGGGCTGAAAGTTCTTCCTGCTAATCATTGTTAAATACGATAATATAAGTATGAATATGGAGATTCTTGTTG